TATTGGATACAAGGGTACCCGGGGCGGCTAAGTCTCTCGGAGGACTTGCGCGCCCTTTGGGTGGAAAGCTGGGTTTTTATAGGGTTTTAGAGCAGAAGCACGGGTACAGAAGCGAGAAGCATGGTTACAGGGAGCTGATTGGTACATTTAAACGAGACCACAGTTTGAGTCAGAGTTTGGCAGGGACACCAGGATTCCAGGAACTGGGTGGTCGAAACGGTCATGATGACCCCTTAACTTGGCCTGCCACATGTTGTTTTCCTTAGGACTCCTATCAGCTGGAACAGTCCCACAGATGTCTCATGAGGGTGATTAACACAAGTTGCTTTTAGCTCAACTGGGGCAGCCTGACCGCAGACATCTCAAGTGGGCGACACAGCTGGGTTTCTCAGTAATTTTCCAGTTCCCCACCTAGCCTACAGAGTTTCTCAATAACAGTGGTGTACCACAAAATGGCGTTAGCTATGTTTAACTTAGGGTGAGGCGGGGGGTCTTTCAACTGCAGAAGGTTAGAGAAAAGCTCAACCATCAGTAACAGCAGTTAACAGAATTCCCTTCTACAGAGAAAGGAGAGCTTTAACTTTGAAGAGTTTAAGTTAGCCTGAGTATAACTTTATTTTGAAATGAGGAGCCATCTTGACTGGGAGCTGAACTTAGGTACCAGGAAATATCACAGAATATACACTTGGCAGAAAACAAAGTTAACTATCCTAGCAATGGCCTCCAGGAAATATTACAGAATAAATATTTAGTAAGAAATAGAGACAATTTCCCCTGGCAGCAATCAATGAGAATCGGCTGGGAATTCTCCGCAATGTTCTAAGATTTAGAAGAATAGCAGTTGTGATTACTTGCCTTAGGCAATTGTGATTATGCGCCTCAGAGAAGGTCACCTCATCCCTCTAACTTTTACCCAATCCTGTAACGCCAAGGCATGTGCCTCCCCTGCTTGCTGTCATGGAAACCCTCTGCTTCCTGTCTTTCCCATCAAAAACCCTGCTCACTCCAGGCTCAAGGTCCCACTTTTCTACTGCTGCGTCAGACTTGGGTCCCAAGTTTGATCACCCTCATAATAAAACTCTCTTGCTCTTGCATCGAGTCGTCTCCTGGTGGTCTCTGAGGGTCCTGTGATCCTGGTATTACAACTTCATATAAAAGACTTTTAATTCAGAACATACCTGCTCTGGCAAGAGATCACATTCAAAGACCTTCTAGGTCTGGGTGATCTGGCTGGAATATAGTCACACCTGTAATCCAGGAGACAGAGGCAAGCAGATCTGAGCTCAAGGCCAGCCTGTTATAGAGCAAGTTTCAGGTGTGGTGGTACACGCCTTCAATCCCAAACAATGAAGGTAAAGTTTGTGTGTAGAAGGAAGCACCTTTCAAGTGTTTGAAAGTGATGTCTAATTGAGTGGCACAAAACAGTGACAGATTAGAGAAAGATTTGACAAAATCTTTAGGATACGCTAGTTTAGGATACGCTAAACTCTCATAAGAAGAGAGAGGAAAGGAAAGCTACTTAAAGGGCCATGAGAGAGAAAAGGCAGTTTTATCAGGACAGTAATAGAGTCAGGCTGCAGAGAGAGAAATCAGGTGAAGACTGAATGAGCCAGAGAATGAGAAGAGCCAGGAGATTAGAGCAGATTGCTGGACATAGTTTGAGGCCAAGCAAAATAATTTTGGGGCCAAGAGAGAAGCCCAATTGAATAAGTCATCTGGGAGAGGAGTTCAAGCCAGAACAGCCGAGTTGAACCAGCCAGCCCAGAGCTCAGCAAGAACTAGAAAGGGTGAGTTTATTCAGCAGTAAGTCTCAGAGGCTGAAAACGCTCTAGGCCTAGGTTAGATTGAAAGGAGGCTAGAGGCTTCCAGGACTAGGCTTAGGTTAGCAGATAAAGGCAGTAGTCCCCCAAGACAATAATTGAAACAGGCAAATAAAAGTTCCTTTTACAAGTTCAGCCTTTTGTTCCCCTGATCCTCAGGGATGTAACTAGTGGATTCTTTTCTATTAATTAATTATTTTCTATTAATTCTATTAATTAGGGAGTTTGTTTTATGATCTACATAGGTTAATGTAGATCCCTATACATTAAACAATAGGCTTTGAACCTTTCTTACCTTGGGAAGTTAATCCAGAAGATAGCATGCAACAACAAAAGGCTTTTGTTTTGCAGAGGACCTGAAGAGTTTAAGTTAGCCTGGGCATAGTTAGCCTGAGAATAACTCCATTTTGAAATAAAGAGCCATCTTGACTGGGAGCTGAATTCAGGTACCAGGAAATATCACAAAATGTGCACCTGGCAGAAAACAAAGTTAACTCTCCTAGCAACAGCCTCCTGGAAATATCACAGAATAAATACTTCATAGAAAATAGAGACAATCTCCCTGGCAATAATCAATGAAAATCGGTTGAGAATCGGGTGGGAAAAATCTCCCCAATGTTTCAGATATAGTTTAAAAGAATAGCTATTGTGATCATATGTCTTAGGCAATTGTACCTCAGAGAAGGTCACCTCACCCCTCTAACTTTTACTTGATCCTGTAACATCAAGGCATGAATGAACACCCCCCCCCCCTTTCTGTTATGGAAACGTGCCTTCCTGCTTGCTGTCATGGAAACCCCCTGCTCACAGTCTTTCCCTTTAAAAACCCTCCTCACTCAGGGCTCAGGGGCCCATTTCTCTACTGCTGCATCAGTGAGACTGAGTCCGATCGCTCTCATAATAAAGCTTTCTTGCTCTTGCATCAAGTCGTCTCCTGGTGGTCTCTGCGGTCCTATGAAGTTGGCATTACAGACCATCATGCCAGGGCCGCCACCTTCACAACATGGCGGGGAATCCCTGCCGCAGCTGTGTGGATTGGCTGGCCCCCATGGAGGCCACCTGACTCTGATTGGGCTTAGGGGCCTCTCAGGCCAGTAGCTAAGCAACCTCCTCTCCCTCGGCCAGCTGTTCTGGCCGAGCTGATTTCTGTGTTTTTCCCTGCAACTGAAGTCTCTTTTTCCGAGGAATGGAGAACGGGAATGGGCCTGTTCTGTCTAGCAAGAGAGTGGGTTCATCATGGAGTTGGTCAGGCTTATTTAGCCAGGCTCTCCGGGTGTCGAGAATCATCTTCCAGATCTCTGACATGTTGCCCCTGTAGTCTGTGCTCATTTTCTCAGTGTCAGTATCCTGAGATCTGTCAACTCATTTTTGCTTTTGAGGGGGCGTGATGCGCGTGTTGGTGTTTATTGGCGCTGTCACCTGTGGGTGGAAGTAAAGTCAGGATTGTTACATGTTTGTTCTTGTAACCCATTTTTCCACCAGGAAATACTTGGCCACCCTTAGGACTCACGAGTACAAAATAGACATGCATATGAAACATTTGCTGATAATGAACTTATTTTAAAACAATGCTTTGTGGGAGGAGATGAGGAGGCCAGGGTGGGGTTGGGAGGGGAGGAGGGAGGGGGCTACAACTGGGATACAAAGTGAATAAACTGTAATTAATAAAAAATAAGTTAATTAAATAAAGTTATTCTCACAGGGGGAAAAACCTGCTTTGGCATACATCCAATATTGATATTTTTTTAAAAATGAAAACAACTTTGCATGCTGATGAGGCAGATTGCTAATTTAGCTGACACAATACAGTGCAGAAATCAATGGCAAGAGATGGTGGCAGGAAAATATTAAATGTGTTTATTTCCCACCAAAAAGTTGTGATTCAGAAGAGCAGGTAACTGTAGAGTACAAAAACTGCAGTTCCTAACAGGCCTGAATCTGAACCTGGTGTTACAGACGGCACCCATCGTGGTGCTATGGCCTGTTCTGTGCAAAGCATGTACATTCTGTGTTCTGAACAGATGCTGCCTTGAGGCCACCCAGAGTGCAAAGCTGGGCCCTGCCAGGAACATGCTGAATTGAGTACACATTTGATTTTGGATTAATCTTTGGCTGCATGTTCCAAAACCTTCTAGTGTTCCCAGGCTTTTGACTCCTACCTTCAGTTGTGTGACCCCAGCTGGAGCTGCAGCTAACAATTTGAGAATAGGACTTTGTGCTGGATAGTTTGATGTTTTAACTTGTTGACAAGTCATTTAATAGGAAGGAAGGAATCTCAATTGGGAAAATACTTAATTAAGTTGGGGCTGTAAGCAAGTCCATAGTAGACCTATGGCCCATTGTGGGTGGAGCCATTTCTAGACTGGTGGTCCTGGGTTCTGTAAGAAGTCAACCTGACAAACCAGGAGGAAGCCTCCCTCCATAGTCTCCATGCAGCTCCTGCCCCCAGTTTCCTGTCCTGTTTGAGTTTCTGCCTTCACTGCTTTTCATGATAGACTGTTAATATAGAGCTATGGGTGAGGGGAACCCTTCTTCCCCAAGTTGCTTTTTGTCACGGTGCTTCATCACAGCAATGGTAACCCTAAGATTGACTTGTTCTAATGTGGGTGCTAAGAACTGAGCTCATAGATTTGCATACACTGTACTAGAGCTCCACGACGTCGGCATCAGTGTTTGTATTTCTTTCTTTGGAGCTTGAATTTTTAGACAGGGTTTTCCTGTGTAGCCTTGGCTCTCCTGGACTTGCTTTGTAGACCAGGCTGGCCTTGAACTCACAAGTCACAAATATCCACCTGCCTCTGTCTCTCCAAGTGCTGGGATTACAGGTGTGTGCTACTGCTCCAGGCATGGATGTTATTTTTTTGTGGTTGGGTTTATGTGTTCTTTCGCCTTGCTCTTAATAACACCTACTTGATATAGCCATGTGTTCTGTGGATTTTGTTTTTGTTGGAATTAGAAACTCTAGTTACGTTTTCTCAGCTCACTTTGTTGACACAGAGATAAAGATGCTTGTATTGTTTTTTTTTTCTTTTTCCCATGATACAGAATACAAGAAACAAGTAACACACACACACACACACACACACACACACACACACACACGGGTAGGGGAATGAAGTGAGGAGAGGAGTGGACTCCCATTTTGTGCTCCTTGAGCTGAAGAGAAATGTGTCGTTTCAGGGGTTGGTGTCATTTGAGGACGTGGCTGTGCGCTTCACCTGGGAGGAGTGGCAGGAGCTGAGCGCCACCCAGAGGAGCCTCTACAGGGACGTGATGCTGGAGAACTACCGCAGCCTGCTCTTCCTGGGTGAGGCTGGTTCCCGTCAGCCTCAGCAAATGCTTGTTAACAAGTATAGAAATCATTACTCACTTTAGAGACTTACTTGTATCTTAGCTCTGTGTGTGTGTCTGTGAGAGGAAGTGCCTGTGGACGCTGGAAGGTGTTGTTACTCAGAGCTGTGTGAGGAGACCCATAGGGAATGGCAAGTGAGGGGTCCCCGGCTCCTACAGTTTCTTGACTGGTCCTGTTGATCTACCAGGGACTCCGAGCACACTAGTGAAATCTCAAAATGGAGCTGAGGCTAGGGCAATGACCGCTTCCCCCTTCTTTATGGAAGTTTCCTGAGGTGACCTTGACCCCCCCCCCCATGCTTCCTTATAATTACACCAACCTGATTGATCTTGGTGCTTGAGGCTGGAACGGGTGGTCTGGTGGCCCTTCCATCACGTGAAGGCTTCCACACTGCACACTGAGGTTAGACCTGCTCCTGGAGTCTGCTCTCTGAAGTCAGATTCCTGGGATTCTGTGTGCTGTGGTCCACTCATCCCTCCTCTCCCAGTTCCTGATCCCCACAGAGCTGGAGTTGAGCAGGCAGTTGCCAGGTTTTGATACTGGAAACTGAGCTGTGATGCCTGCGGTGGTTTGAATAGGTATGGCCCCCATAGACTCAGTATTTGAATCCTTGGCCTATGGGAGTGACACTATTAGGAGGTGTGGCCTTGTTAGAGACAGTATGTCACCATGGGAGTGGGCTTTGAGGTCTCTCACACTCAAGCTACATCCAGTGTGGCACACAGTCGCCCTTCTGCTGCCTGGGGGTCCTCCAATACCTTGTCTGTCTGCATGCCGCCATGTTTCCTGACTTGACAGTAATGGACTAAACTGAACTGTGAGCCAGATCCAGTTAAATGTTTCCTTTCTAAGAGTTGCTGTGGTCATGATGTCTCTTCACAGCAATAAAGCCCTAACTAAGGCAGTCTTCGAAGACCAGTATTTGCTTTTACCCCTGGAACATCTTCCCAGCCTGCTGAACTTTGTCAGATTTTTATTTTGGGGTGTCTGTCCTGCAGTTTAGTGCCACGTGGGGGAGCTCTTCTAGCCAGTGAAGAGTGAAAGTGCAGGTCCTCTCTGACCAGCCCCATCTGCACTCATCAAAGAGCAGAGCCAGAAGTGGCGCTCTGTTCTCCTGTTGGACTGCGTCACAGCACTCTGGCTCCATTTGCTTACCGTTTCTATTTACAGAGCCCAGCATAGCCAAACCTAAATTGATCATGAAGTTGGAGCGAGGATTTGGGCCATGGAGCCGACCAGAAGTTTCAGTCCAGAGCTTCTCAGGTCAGTAAATGTGTGCTAGGAAGTCAGCAGGGAGAAAGCTCGTCAGATAGTGGTTATGTTGAGCTGTTTTTATATAATTTCATACAAACCTGGCCCTGAAACAGCTGGTCACATGGGTCCAACCTTTTTGGCTTTATTTTTTAAAATTCAGTTTAAAAAGAATATTCTTGCTATTACTCTTCCTGTTTTTGTTGCTAAAGTATATTTCTTCAGATTTGCCAAAAGAATCCGTCCCTGTAGATCTCAGCCATCTTTATTATGTAGATGCTCAGCCTAATCTCTTGTTTGTCTTGCTGTCTTACTTGTTTTATGTAATAGTTTTGTTATTGGAACTCTGGAGCTTTTTTTTTTTTCTTTCAAAAACCTCTTTATTTTTTAATTTGTAGATAGGTAGTTGTCTTTGTAATTTTCATCTGATCAATGCTTGTCACTTGATGCATCTCCTTAAAAGGGCTTTCAGTCAGGTGGAACACGGTCAGTTGAAGGTATGAATGACTGATAAGATAATAGCTAGAAAGAATGTTTACCAGGATACATATAGGTGTTTTTATGGCAGCAAATGCTTGCAGTGAATTTGCTATTTATAGATATCTTCATTTAATTACACTTTCACTTTGATGACCATTTTCTAACTTTTGCATGTAATTAATAGTTGAACACAAATTAATGACTTGATAGTGATCATGGTTAGAGAATAGATACATTTGGAAATGAGTAGCCTAGAGACATTTTAATATACTTAATGTACTCTTTGTCTTCTGCTTTCATTATCTTTTTAACATTCATTAGATTTTACTTTCACTACTCTACATTTTTTTGTTAGTTCTTTGTGTGATTAACGGTGTTGGAGTTGTCTTTATTTTTTGTTTATATATTGGATTTACCTTCTTCTCTGAGTGGTATAACAGGTTTTTTAAGGTAAAGAATACTGACAAAGTCCCCTTACATGAAATGGGAAGATCAGTGCATCTTCACAGTTTGATGTACAAACTGCAGTATGGATACGGTAATTATGGGAAAAACAGGCAAAATATGACAGATCTTTCAACGCATATTGGCTCTCTGATAACTGATTCCAAAAACAGGGAAGTGGAAAAGATGCCTGACACAAAAATCATAAGCTAAATTTAATAGTGATCAATGACCTGAAAGAGTATTCAAATAAATAGATGAATGAAGAATACATTTAAAGCTTTTCTGAGAAATTTAGAATTTACAGTAAGAAATTGAGAGAGATTGGGAAAGAAATATAACCTGAAATCCTGGGATGGGAATATTCACTGAAAAGAATCAGTGGAATACATAGTGTGTCAAGGAAAAAAAAAAACCCAGAGATTATAGATAAGTTTGGGAATTACTGCAATCAGATCAAAAGAATGTACAGTGCAGTCATGACCACCACAACATTTAATACCCTTTTACTATGATGAAGAATCCCAGCCTGGACCAGTTAGGTGGTTCAGTGAATAAAGACACTTATTGTAAGGCCTAACCACCTGAGTTTCATCCCTGGGTCCCACATAGTGGAACAGATGCCCTTCAAGTTGTTCTTGGACTTTTACACATGTACCATGGCCTACACATACCACCCCCCCACAGACTCATATACACACAAACATTCACATACATACATACATACCTGCACACAGACACTTGTATACATACACACACAAACACATCACACACACTGAATGAATGAATGAAATGAAGTGAAAATTACAAAAAGAAATGCAACCTGTAAATCTGGCATACAGTAGAGATGAGAGAGGGACTAGAAGTATGGAAATCTAGGCACAGTAACCCATATCTCAGTGTGGGAGTAATTTTTAATCACAAATTGACATGATCCCAAAAGACCTTTTTAAGAGTCATTAAAATTAAATTGCCGCAAGTCCAAATTAAGAATCCTGAAACTGTCGAAAAAGGAATGTGCTTAGTTACTATAGAAGACAAACATGTTACCATAATATGTTTATAGTCTTAGCGAAGACTGTAAAGACCAGAAAGCATGGGCTCATGTATTTTATAGCCTGAGACAAAACTGTGAGGCAAGATTACTCTGATTAACACAGTTATTGGTTAAACTTGGAAAGAACTGATGGCCGTCTACTACATTTCAACAATAAAACAAAGTAGAAAGACACGAGTTAGGACCATGGTATTTTAGTGTAATTTGTTATTCATTATAGAATAAGATATATACACTTACCATAGGTCAGTAAATGTCTTATTTGGGGTTTCCGTTGCTGTTTTAAAACACCATGACGTAAAGCAACTTAGGAGGAAAGGTTTTATTTCAGCTTGTACTCCGCAGGGAAGGTCAGGGTGGGAACTCAACAGTAGGGCTAGAGCAGAGAGCACGCTGCTTGCTGGCTTGCTCATTCTGCTCTCTTATGGGGCTTAGGACCACCAGTCCAGTGGTGGCACTGGACACTGACCCTTCCACATCATTCAAGAAAATGTACCACAGGCTTGCCCACAGGCCAGTCTGGTCAGGGCATTTGCTTAATTGAGGTTCCCTCTTTCCTAATGACTCTAGCTCTGTCAGGTTGACATAAAACCACAATAAGCATCTGAAGGCATGACTTTTGTGTTTAAATTCCATTAAATACTCATGAATTATTGACTCATGGCATCTTTAATATTACAGGTGTTCGTAAAATGAGGGCTCTGATTGATACCAGCAAGGATCATCCTATGATATATTTGCACCACTTTGGAATAACTAATCAAAGAACGTCAAGTGAATACATGATTGAAGTAAGTAAAACATGTAATATGAGGTCAAACCCTATTTCGAACACGGAACATTTTCACAGTTAATTCTGGCAGAATGTAGTAGTACTTTTCCAAAAGGGCCTAATTAGATGCAGGCTGCAGAAGAATTTTTATCTAAGTAAGTAAGCCCACCAACCTGCTCAGTAAATCTTGGTTTGCATAGCAGTAAAGTTCACAGTGTTCTATTCAGTATTTTCAGCGAGAGGGTAGCTTTTGAAACAAAAGCAATATTATTGACACATAAAGAAATTTCATACCTCTGTTAAATTCTGTAAATACTTGAAATGTTTTTCTTGCCCAAGACATGGCTTATGTGGAAGCAAAAAGTACCGACTATAGTATATGCGGATAATGTTTTGTGAGGAGCCTAAATTAGTAAATGGTAAAGTCCATGCAGAAATATTTACCAATTATGAGAAACCTTTCATTAAGAATTCATACCTCAGAATATAAGGCAGCTCATTCTAGGAAAAAAAAAATGCTTGAGTGCTAAGGAATTCCTTTGTTTTCAAGGCACAACTAAAGACTCAACAGGAAATCTACAAAAGGAGAAAATCCCATCATGGCAGAGCACTTGCAGAAACTTCTTACCACAAGTTACAGGAAACCAAGAATCAGACTTTGCACAGAAATGGGAAACTCTATGAGTGTAAGGACTGTAGGAAAGTTTTCTATCGTAATTCATCCCTCATTAAGCATTACAGAAGAACTCATAATGTAGAGAAGCCCTATGAATGTAATGAATGTAGTAAAAGGTACTATTGGCAATCGGACCTCACTGCACATCAGAAAACTCATAGACAAGAGAGTACTCATAGACAAGAGAGGACCTATGAATGTAAAGAATGTGGAAAATGTTTCTTCCGTCAGTCTCATCTCAATGCACACAAAAGAGCTGCTCATACAAGTGAGAAACCTTATGAATGTACAGAATGCAGGAGAGCTTTCTCTTACAAGTCAGACCTTAATCGACATAGGAAAACTCATTTGGGTGAAAAGCCTTATGTATGTGAAGTGTGCAAGAAACCTTTTTCTCGAAAGTCAAAGCTCTCTATACATCAGAAAAAGCATACGGGTGAGAAGCCTTATGAATGTACAGAATGCAGGAAAGCTTTCTCCCATAAGTCACAACTCACTGCACATCGGATAACTCATTCATCTGAGAATCCTTATGAATGTAAAGAATGCAATAAATCTTTCCACTGGAAGTGTCAACTCACAGCACATCAGAAAAGACATATAGGTAAGACGCTTCATGAATGAAGAACACAAGAAAACCTCCTACCACAAGTCAGAAGTTACTGTACATCAGGGAACTCATACAGTTGATAAGCCCTACAAATATGAGGAATACAAGAAGGAATTTTACATAAAGTACACTTTACTATATATGGGAGAATTCATAATTGAGAAGCTTTACAGAATATAAAAAATGTAGGAAAGTTTTCCAGTGCAATTTATAACCTCATTTGATATCAAAGACCCATACAAATGAGAAGCCACAGCAGAGAACAGCATATGAAAAAACAAAACAAAACAGGACTGTATTGACTCAGTATTTCTTGGATGACTTATCTGCCATCGGAGACTCCACAAAGAAGTTGTTAGAGAGCTCAGTGGTTAAGAGCACTTGCTCTATAATTGTGATGATCCTAGTACCAGCTTGACAAGTCAGGGTCCCTGCAAACACTTGTCAGCCTAGTTCGACCACGGGGGAGACAAAAGGATCTCCTGAACTTGCTGATTTCTAGCCTAGCTGAGACACGAGCTCCAGGTTCAGTAAGAGGCCCACTGTGAGAAGATTAGGTACACTCAAAACCAACTTCTCGTTTCTGTGTGAGTTTAGGTGCACACCTAAACACCTGTGAACAACAAAAAGTTTAAAGAAAAGGAGGATGGTGAGATGGCTCATTGAATAGATATTTGTCACCGTATATGATGACCTGAGTTTGATTACCTAGAACATAGATGGTAGGACAGACCAGATCTTGCAAGCTGCCCTTTGTGAATGCTGTGGCATGTACACACCCACAGTGTTAGAGTTATTTTTTATAAAACTGTTTCTCAGTTTCTCTCTTAACCCACACAGATAAGTGGGATTCTTTTATATTTGTTTAATAATAAACTTCACTGTACAATAACTGAGCAGTTGTTACTCTATTCTTAACCCTCTAAACCAATCTGGTTTCCTCCAAGTGTATATCCCAGAAATACTTGCATTTTATAGTTTTCCTGCTCATAGCTGAATCCCTTACTTCTAACCCTTCCTCCCCTGGAAGTCCAGCCCTATTCTCTTCCCTGCTCAGTGATTGGCTCTTAAGATGCTTTATTGGCATGTCAGGGGACAACTGGGGAGCAGTGTTTACAAAGCATTGAGACAGGAGATTCTCATAACTAGGACCAGATAATGGGGTATAGAAATCAGCATTTGAATTACACAGCAACCTTATTCCTGCCCCACAGCATATACAAAATGAGTTGTAA